GGTTATCTCCCACAATTTTATTTTTCTTCTCGATTTCCCAAATTAACTTTTTTATGCTTGATCCAATTCGATTGAAATTTATATATCATTCGAAAGCCCTCAATGAGATGCTCTTGATGGATTATGTCTGATCACCCATTAAGAAGTGATAACTGTGAAAAACATCGATTTCTTCGACTTATCGACTTCTAATGTTTTAATGGACGATCAGACTTACTCTATTTTGTTGGAATAAAGATAGCGCTCATCGAAGGCTTTCAAATTAGCAAAGATTCGTGAATTAGATCGAGATAAATAGGTTATACCTATTAAATTCGGAAAAAATGAGAAGAAAAATAAAATGCTCGGAGATAACCGAATAATACATTTAACACTATCTTTCTTATTATTTCAAAGTAAACACTAAATAATTTCTAGATTACTTTTCAACTTCAATGTCGACAAAAATTTTATTTTTTATTCAATTTATTTTTCCAATATTTTTAAATTCTTTGGCAATTGTACAAAAAAGTCAACGATTCCGATTTTATTATTTTAATCCTGAAGATGTCAATCATTTAAAAATAAAAAGAATAAACATAAATAATTTTGTTTTGTCTGTTGAATTGGAATGTTCTTTACCGGAAATAGATTGTTCTGATCTTTATATAAAATTAAAAAGACAAATTGGTTTTGTTGAAACCAATGACGATTCTTTTGCAGAAAATCTTAACAACGGGTTAACGAAGATTCATTTAAAAACTGAATCGAATAAATTTCGCGGAGGAATTATGATTGGGCTCCGAAGCGCAAGAAGGGTAAAGCAAAAAATAATAAAATAAAATATTATTAAACAAAAAATAATATTTTTTATAGGGTTGCCGTTTTCGGTGCGAACCGACGTTCGGTGCATTTTTTGAGTTTGGGTTTTTTCGATTCGGTTCGTTATCAAGCTTTTTGAGCCGAAAAGCGAGCGTGTTGGCAACCCTAATTTTTAAATTAACATTTTTTAGGATGTTATGCAAATAGAGCCTCTCTTTCATAAAAATATTAATTTTGAACCTGAGGAGGTCACAGAAAAAAATAAAGAGTTCCAATTAACTAAATTTGAATGGAATTTGAATTTTGAAGAAGGCTATGACAGTCATATAAATATTTGTTTTAAAGCCAAAAATAAGGGAAAATATTTTATTTATGTTATGCTACATTCTCGAAAGACACTAAGATTTTTTGTCAAAATTGAAGGAGAGAAAGAAAGATGTTTGTTTGGGAAATTTAAAATAATTTCAGAAAATTTAAAGAATTTTTTTGAAGAATTAAAAGAATTTATTCATGTTTTTGCTGTCAAAACTAATGAGAAAAACTTTGAAGACGGACAAATGGATTTTATTGAATTAACAGATTCTGACCAAATTTTTTACAATGGGGCTAAAATCTTAAGATTGGGTCCTTTATTTGATGATGGAAGTTTTGAAATTTATTTTGACAAAAATGGAAAGATTAATGACTTTTTATTGTCGAATAGAATGTTGTTAAAAAATTCAAAAAATATTTTGAAAGATTATTTAATTAAAAATAGAATTGGGGGATAAAAAGAATGTTTTTAATAAAGATGAACAAATTTGGTTCCGTTATATGGGAGATGAAAGTCAAAAAATTTTTAAGAATGAAAATGGAAAATCCAAAATAATTGAAGTTAATAAATTTTGGTGGAATACATAAAGAATCAAAAAATAAATATAAATAAAAAAATTAATAAATTCAGTAATGCAGGAAAAAATGGCAAAAAATGTAAAAAATAAAAACAATTAAAGAATTAACTTTCGAATTATCCTTCATTTCAATAAATTATTTATTTTCTTCAATTCCCATTCTTTAATATTCGATATAAAAATTAATTTCAAATATAAATATAATAATTACTAAATCTTTTTTATTTTTCATAAAATTTTATAATTTATTTTAATATTAAAAGATTTTAATTAAATTAAAAATTTATGTGTTTAGAAATTATTTAAATTTCGATCATATAGTATAAAAGATTGTAGATATATAGTATAAATAAAAGATAATAAATAATATATACCGTATTTCTCATATTAGAGCCCCACTCTAAAATAGAGCCCCACATTGGAGGATAGTAGAAAAATAGAGCCCCATGGGGCTCTAATATAAGTATGATTATTTACATTTATTTAACAAGAGAGAAAAGAATATTTAATAATTTTGTTAATTAAAAATAAATATTATTTAAAATAATTAATTTATATTATTTATTAATTTTGTTAAAAATCTCGTAACTTCTTGGACGTTAATTATCTTAACAGTTGATAAATGTTAATCTTGCGCCTAAAAACAATAAAATATAAGGGAAAATTTAAGTAACACTCAACCTGTTCCTTTACCAACATTGAAATTCGATTCTAACATATGGAATGCCGTTTTAGACAAATCCACTTCAGAAATTTTACAAGTAGGGCACTCGTTAGTTATTGGGATGATTAATCTTTTAAAATACAATTATTAAATAAATAATAATTTTAAATAAAATACTTTTTGTTTTTATATTCAATTTTTACACATTTACTAATACAAACTTTGTCGTTACGCACTTGCCCGCCGTTTTTGCAAGAATTCCATTTGGCGTTATTATCGAATAGATCTTTTGAAACTGCAGCGGAAAAAGCAGCCTTAAAAATAAAATTTGGGAACTTTTGTTTTACATCTACATTCCATTTCCGTCTCGAAAAAAAGTCAATTTTTTATTTTTTTTCTTGGTTCGTTTAGTACCTATAAATCTCTTTTTCGCTAATATATTGGCATTTTTATTATTTAAACATCCCATAGATGAGCTAATAAGCTAATGAACTTATAAAGAATCACTAGCCATACATTAAAAACATACAAGTATCGTACAAACATTAGAATCACTAAAAATTAAAATGGCAAAGTATATATACTCAAATCATTTCTGATATTTTAAACAGGAAAAAACGTGCCAAAAATTTTCTTTAAAAAATTTTTTTCAACAAACCACATTATTGTCAATCCCACAGGCTCCCCCATATCCAAACGATGGTGGATAAAAAGTAAATGTTCCACCAATTGGTATGTTAAGGTGTTGATCTATTACTCCCGTAGCTGTTTTTCTATCAAAACATCTTGTATTCATATAATGATTATAAATATTTAGATATTCCTTGTTTATATCCGCAAGGGAATCAGGAAAGACAACACCCTCATAGTCATTATCTTTAATTAATTCTGTTGTGGTTATAATACTCTCTGTACTATTTTCATTGTTTATAGTGTTAGTAACAGCCTCAGTTACTTCAACACAAGAAGTAGTGACTGAATCAACTGGAGCAGCATTTAATATTTTAAAAGAAAATAAAAATATTATTAAATTAATTAAAAGACACGAAGCCATTTTATTTAATTTTTTAAATTTTCTAAAATAAAATTTGCTTTTTAAAAATCTCTTTTATGGCAACTAAATATGCTGTAGAATTTTATAAAAATAAAATTTGCCACATCACAAGTTGAGTGGATGATTGTTTTAAATATTTTTTATTTTTCCAAAAAAATTATTTAAATTTAATTATTTATTCAAAATTGAACCAAAAAAATTCTTGATTTAATGAATTATTTTAATACAGGGGGGTAGTTCAATATACTCCATGTGTTTTTCTAAAAAAAATTTTCTAAAAAAAATTTTTGTAATTATTTAAAATTGAACCAAAAAAATTCTTGTTTTAGTGAATTATTTTAATAAATTATTGAAGTAGTTTTCTACAATCAAACAATTTTTTACAATTTATTTACTAAATATACTAATAATTAACAGTTGGCACGCAATTAACAGTTGGCACGGCAATCAAGGGGGTATTTCAATATACATAATTTGCCGTTACCAATGAAAAAATGAAAATCTGTCAAATCGCAAGCCGATCCTGGCAAACCCCCCCCCCCCCTCTTCCTCCCTATCTTTTTTATGTCTAGCTTGGTTTTACGAACCTTAGACTTTTAAAAAATAAATTTTATTATTTCTCATTAACCTCCTCAAGGTAATAAATACTTAAAGACGCTTAATTTAATTACATCAAAAATATTTAAATAAATTTGTCTAGCATTTTTATTTAAAATATTAAAAAAAAATTTTTTTTCTTTCTGCAATTTTTTTAAAAATTTACTTCCTTCAATTTTGCTAAAAAATTTATTGTTTGAATTAATGAATTAAATTTTTTTAGAATTTTCTTTTTTAATTTTAAAATATTTTAATGATTGACACATTAGACTAAAAAATATTTTTGTTCCAAAATACATAGTTTTTTTGTAAACCACAGATTTTCAATTTATTGAATTTTTAATTAATTTTAATTGTCAATTGATAAATGAAATATTTAAATAATTAAAAGTTATTTTGATGGATTTAAATATTAAATAATACCTGATAATACTTAATTAAACTTAATAATTAGATCTTTAGACTTAGACAAAAATATTTTTTGTTTAATTTTAATTAATTATATTTTATTCTTTTACAAAAGATCATTCTCCACTTTTATTGACAAATACTCTAAAGAGGTGATCAGGATATCCCTGTTTTTTAGTCCAAACTGTCAGTTTCAGATTTTTGACTGTTTCAAAATCATTTTTAGATTGATTCGCACTGAAAACTTTAAAAAATTTTTAATTGTATATCCGCAATTGTCGTACTGCCGTTGGATATTGAGTAATGCTGAAACTTTACACCAAATGTAGTCAATAAATTTAAATATATCAATAAGAATATTTATTTTCCACAAATTAAAATAAACAATTTTCTTCTTTTCAGAAAAAGACAAAAATTAAAGAAATTGAATGAATGACTGACAAAAATTAAAAGGGGAGAATAATATTTATAGGGAGAGGGAAAATGTCAAAACAGCAAAAAAATAAAAAAAGGCGGGGATTTAAATATTTGAAATTAGAGTCTTAATTAAATTTATATTTATAAAATATATCACATCCCCAGGGTCTCAAAAGATGGCGTCCTCGACATCTAAAATTTTCATGCTGTTCCGATAAGGCTTTGGGTGGTGAGTCAAATCAACGACGACGCGAGTATTTGTGTCTGGGTGAGGTAGAGGGTCGTCGGCTTGAATAATGGGAAGTGGAGCTGTTGTGTCGATAAGGACTTCGTCGAAACGAGATCCGGTCACCGAGACCGCCCTCGCTAATCCTTTCATGTCGTTTTGTTGGAATAACAATTTGAGAATTTATTGTAGGTGGGAGACGTCCAATTTGTTGATCTCCAGGAAAATTAGGTACTTGAGTAAAAAGCCAAGAACGGACTAAACTCAAGCCAATGTTGGTAATTTGCCCAGTAATTGTAACGTTGTTGTCGTTAAATGTGGTGCCTTTCCGGAAGATTTCAACAATACTTCTTCCATTCTCCGTCACCGAGACGAAACTAATGGAATTCTTCTCTGTTATCTTTTTTATCAGAAAATAAAGTTCATTGAATTCTTCACTTTTCCGGTGCACATATGGTGGAGCCATTACAAAAATTCGAACATGTTTAAAATCCTTGATCAACGTGATCAAACGATTTATTTGTTCGGCAATGCTCTCTGCTGTTTCCCCATTCAATAAACTGTCTCTTCCTACAATGATTAAAGCTCCTTTAACTTTGCTGGATAGGACTGTCCGGTTTAGTGCTCTAATTATTTCAGAAATATTTCCTTCTTTTCCAACTATTTCTGATCCAGGCATTGCACTAAAAAGTTGTTCGGCAGTGGAATCCCCAATTAATAAACGAGGCTTTTCAATAAACTTCTTTGCCTCGAACACAATTCTTGCTCTAACCTTTTCTAAAACCCAGCTAGTCTTCTTAATTAAATTCTTCCACTCTTCTTTTTCAGCATTTGGAAGTCCTTCAATTGATTTTGGGATTTCAGTTAAAATCTCTTCATATTTTCCTTTTTCCAACTTCATTTTCAAAACTTTACAAGAATTAACCCATTTTTCTAGAGCCCCAAAAATGTCCTTTTCGTTTGGCATTTTTCCTGTTGTTACTAAGTCTCCTCTTTTTCCAGAAAATAGAATTAATTCAAAGCCAGGATCTGCTTTCAATATTGTTGAAAGTAAAGCTTTAGCAGCAGTCAAGGAATTCGTTGTTTCCTTCTTCAACAAAAATATTGTAAAGAGAGCTTGAAGGGCCGTTTTTATTTCTAATTTTCCAATTTTTGTAGTCTCGTCTAAAACAGGGTCGAGGTCTGAAGCATGTAAAATTTTGCATTCGCTGTGTTCTTCATTTTTAGAGCAAAAAGTTGTCCAATCAAATTTAATCGCCTCCGAACCTAAAAGAAAAATCGTCCCATGATTTTTTTCTTCAATATTTATTTTCATTGTCATTAAATTTATTATATTTTTGTAAGGGTTTTTTCCAGTTGGGAGAGTAGCAATGTTAGGAACACCAGGAGGTACTTTGGTTAATCGCTCAATTGGGACAGTTATTGATTTAGCTTTAGGATTGTCAGTAGGAATGCATTCAGCTGAGGCTTTTCCCATTGAAATAATTTTGTAAGGTCCGAAATTATTCCACAACAGCTTCTTGTGTTCATTTCGAATATTTTTCCCAGGAAAATTAACCATCACGCGATCGCCAATTTTGTATTTATTCCCAGAAACATTCTTTTTCGCGTTATACCAGTACGCAATCTTTTCTCTTGACTTTTCCAAGTTTTTGTTTGCTTCAGCAATCAATTGTGCTAAATTTTCTCGAAAAAGTTGGAGGTAAGTGTCTTCGTCAATAGTATAAGCCGGGTTTACTGGAAAATGAATCGTTTCGTTTGAGGGAAAATTTACAGTTCGCCCAAACATTAAGTGGTATGGAGAATATCCTGTTGATTCGGATGGGGTTATGTTGATAGCAAAAACACAAAATGGTAAACGCAAGTCCCATTCCCATACAGATCCTGTGTTTCTTTTTAGCATTCCCAAAATGATTTGATTTATTCGCTCAACAAGACCGTTAGCGTTTGGGTCATAGCCTAGTGTGGTTGTTTTCGATATCTTTAGAATTTTAGAAATCTCTTCCAAAGTTTTGTTTACAAATTCTTTTCCTTGGTCAGAGTGAATTTGTTTGGGTGCTCCATGTATTAAAACAAATTTTTCAACAAAAACGCGAGCAATTGTTTCTGAAGATTTGTCAGGAATTGGTTCGGCAACAACCCATTTAGTAAAGTGATCGACAATAACGAGAACGTAACGGTTTGATGCATTGCTTTTTCCAATTTCTACAACATCCAGACAAACAAGTTCAAGCGGTTCGCTTGTTTTTCGCATTTGTAACTCGGGTTGGTTTGCTCTGGCTTTCCTTGCGTGAGAACAAATTCGACAATTTAAAGCAATTGTATTACACTCCGCACGCATATTTGGCCAAAAGTATCGTTCATTAAGTTGACGAAAAAGCTTTTTCCCGCTCTGATGTCCTGCACAAACTCCTTCATGTCTCTCTTCAAGTAATTCCTTTCTAAATTCTCGAGGAACAAAAAGTTTCAATTCACCTTCCTTATCAACAAAATAAAGCAAGCCATCCTTAAGAATTACGTTTTGACAATGCGCTATTATGCTTTGGCTTTCTTTTTGATCATTTGGGAGAATCCTCTTTTCTAAAAACTCATACAATCCCTTAAATTCACTTTCACGCGTCTTTTCTATCCAATCGATTTTTCTTCCCTTTTCTACTCCCAAACAATTTTCAATCTCTTTTTCATTCACCTCTTTGTCAATTTGAAGCAATTGAATAGTTTTGCTTTCAGGCGGAGGAATTCTCGACAATAGGTCAGCTACGGTATTGGACTTTCCTGGATTGTATTCGACTTTCAAAATAAAACGATCATTCAATTCCATAATCCAACGATCAACTCTAGAATTCCCCGTTTCATTTTTGCTCTTAAACATAGGAACAAGTGCTTTGTGGTCAGTTAAAACACGTGTGGGTATCATAGTTATAAATTGTGCAAATTTTTTAGCTCCAAAACGAACTGCTAGTGCCTCTAATTCAGTTGGACAATAGCGTTCTTCGTGTTTGTTACATTGTCTTGACGCAAAGTAAATGGGTCTAATCCTATCATTTTCATCAGGTTGACAAAGAACTGCAGAAAGACCTATCTTGCTTGCATCCGTCATTATAATAAATGCTCTTTTTGGATTTTTCACAGCACTTTCAAAATCTGGGAAATACAGTAAAACATCCTTAATTATTTTCTCTTTTAATGTTTGGATAGCCTCTTTTTCTTTTTCCCCAATTTTAAAAACTGCATCTTCTCGTACTAATTGAAAAAGTGGTTTTGCAATTGCGCCGAAAGAGTAAATGAATTTTCGGTAATAAGTCATAAATCCTAGTAAAGATCGAAGTTCCTTCTTTGTTTTAGGAATTGGAAGATCTAGCACCGGTTTAATCTTTTCAGCGTCTTTCTTTATTCCTTCAGGGGTTAAAGTGTGGCCGAGAAAGGGAATTTCTTCAGCAGCAAATTTGCATTTAGAAATTTTTAATTTTAACCCAGCCATTTTAATTCTCTCAAAGACAAGTTTTAAATGTTTCTTGTGTTCGTCGAACGAGTTGGATGCTATTAGAATGTCATCGATATAAACAAAAACAAAATCATTTATTAGATCCTCAAAAAGAACTGACATAAATCGCTGAAATGTGGCAACTGCATTAGCTAGACCAAAAGGCATTACTAAGAACTCATGTAACCCAAATTCAGTAATAAATGCAGTTTTATTGATTGAATCTTCATCCATTTTGATTTGCCAATAACCCGACATAAAATCAAGAGTAGAAAAAATTCTTTTATTTCCCAGCATTAGAAGGGTATTGTCAATATTTGGTAAAGGAAACGCGTCTTTTTCGGTTATCGAATTTATCCCTCTATAGTCAACACAGAATCTCAGACTTCCGTCCTTTTTTGGTACAATCACAATTGGACTTGCATAAGGAGAGTGAGACGGTCGCACAATTCCACGCCCTAAATAATCTTGCAACATTGTGGCTATTTTCTCTCTATATGCAAAAGGAACTGGACGAAGACGAGATCTAATCGGTTGATTGTTTTCGAGGCGTATTTCATGCTTTACTAGATTTGTTTGCGTAAGTTCTTCATCTCTTAAAGCAAAAATTTCTTCAAACTCATTAACAATCTCAACTAATTCAGGGTATTGATTTTCTTTCAATTTTCCTGTATTCTTTTCTAATTGCAACTTAAATTCATGCTCTCTTTCTTTGTTTTCGGCGCTCGAGTCTAGAGTTGTACCGCCCAACAGGGGTGGGCGCATTGCGTTTTGCGTTTTGCGTTTTGCGTTGATTTTTGGCCTTGCGTTGCGTTTTGCGTTTTGCGTAAATTTGGCCAAAATTAACGCAAAAAATCGCAAGAAATATACCCAATCTGAGGGCAAAATCTGAAGGAAATCAGGCTTATGACTTTCCAAAATTCTCAAAATTTTCGCCTGCGGCGCTTAAAAAAGGAAGAAATTTGGCTTCTTGGTCCCAAATTATTAAAAATTTTCGCCTGCGGCGCTAAAAGTAGATCATAGAACTGCTCAGAAAAATATCAGTTCAATATCTTGAGCTCCGATCTCCCTTTATCCCTCCAAATCCCCTGATATCCGCGGTATCAATTGAGAATTACAGAGAGGCATTTATCCTCCGCTATCTCCCCAACCCATCCGACATTCATCAGTAATCGCATGGTATCTTTTTAAATTTCCTTGATCCCTCCAATTTTCCTCGATCCCTCCTTCATAATCGCTCTAAATCCTCTAATATCCTTCATATCCCATTGTATCCCCTTCAAATCATTACCCATCCAACTTAATTGTATCACAAGATCAACTAGGACTCGCTGACTTATAGTAATACTTCTATTTTAACTGAAAAATGGCTAATACTCGATTTAAAAATTTTTTTCAGAATTTTGCGTTCTTGCGTTTTGCGTTTTTTGCGTTTTGCGTTGATTTTTGGCCTTGCGTTGCGTTTTGCGTTTTTCACGATTGCCTCTTGCGCCCACCCCTGCCGCCCAACAAATTTACTTTAACATCTTTAGAATCCCAATCAAAATAAAGAAAATTTTCAGCCTCCCCGTATTGATTTACAGTTTCAACTTTACCAATACTTTCATTTTCTTTCAACCTTATTGGGAGCTCTGATGTATTTGTAACTGGCACTACAACTTTTCCTTTTTCGCCGCACCCTAGCGTTGGTTCTATTCTTATCTCGCTTTCTTCCTCTTGCGCTATAAGAATTTCCTTTCCTTCAAATTCTTTTTCAATCCGCGTTTCAACTAATTTAGTAGAGCGAGGTGGTATGGTTGTGTGGAAAATAATTTTAACGGCACCAGATTTTTTTGGTTCTGCTTCTTGAAAATTAATCATTTCATCATTTGGCTCATCATAAAGTTTAAAACCTAGGTCTTTTAGACAATTAGTTCCAAACAAGAGTTCATAACCAAATGGTGCTTTAGTGATGTGCGCTCGGATGTAAGTTTCATCCATACCATTTCTTTTAATTGGTAAATTGACGACACCGAGAGAATTCACTTTATTTCCATTAACGTCCAAAACTTGTTCAGCCGACTTAGAAAATTTTAAAGCCCTATCATCCAATTTAATTTCATTTGCCTTAAGTAAATTCACTAAGAAGCCAGCATTTACGAGAGAAATTTGAGCACCAGGGTCGACAATAGAGAGTGCTTCTTTTCCTAAGACATTTACTCGAAGTGCAATAATTTTTCCAACCAAACCGCTTTTATCTTCAACTGACTTTTCTTCAACGTTCTTATTATCTTTTTCGAAAAAATCAGTAATCTCAGCAGTGTGTACGGCATTTACGTGAGGAATATTGACTTCGTCGAATTGCTCAACTTTAAGCATGTTTTGTTTTAGTTGGTTACGGAATGGCTGTTTATTGTTAAAATATTCTCGATTTCCCTTTAGTTCAACGCTATTAGAGTTAGTTGCAAAATTTCGACTAGCCCCTAAATTTTGTTGTGGTACTAAAGCTTGAACATTATTTTGGGTAGGTGGTTGCCATTTGTTTCTACAATCACTCGAATAATGCCCTACTTTTCCACAACTATAACACTTAATTTCTTTCTGTCTTTCCCTTGGTCATAGAATTGCGTTCTTTGTGGCGAATATTGATTAGGGAAATTTTGTTTATTCTCAAAACGGTTATACAGTGCCGGAAAAAAAGATAGGACCAGAGACTGTCAATTTAGTTTTTTTCGCTTATCTCTTTACTAATGGCATTTAGTAAAAAAGTTTCGAAACAAAAATTTTAGGCCATTAAGTGCTCTTTAAAATGAGTATAAATATCAGTATACTTTATCGACAGAATTTTATCAAAAAAATTTTAAACAATACTACTCAATTTTTGGGGTGGAAAAAAAGATAGGACCAGACTAGAAATATCGACTTTTGTTCGTTCAAAAATTCTATGAAAATTTTTAAGAACATTTCCATCAATACTGAGTAGAAAAATAAAAAGAACGAAGTCTGTGACTTATTTCTTCATCGAGATCTCAAATCTCAAAAATCAACGGAAAATTGGGGTACAGTACTTTAAAAAATATTTTAGCACCCTAGAGCTTATAATAAAAATTTTATTTTATGCCTATCTGAAAGCCCATAAAATTTACTACAAAATAGTCTGGAAAATAATTTTTCTAAAAAAATATCTGTTTAACTCTAGTCCACTTTACATTAAAAATTCTCAAAATCTCCCAAAATACCCCAGAAATGTTAACTTAAAAAATTGCCTTACCTCTATCTCTATGAGTTTTTATTGCAAAAATAAAAACTTGGACTATTTTGTAGCAAATTTTGTGGGCTTTTAATGGGCCAAAAAGAAAATTTTTTATAAAAGCTCCAGGGGGTTTAAATATTTTTTTTAAATACTATACCCCAATTTTCCGTTGATTTTTGAGATTCGAGATCTCAATGAAGAAATAAGTTACTGACTTCATTCTTTCTATTTTTCTACTCAGTATTGATGGAAATGTTGGCAGAAATTTTTATAGAATTTTTGACCGAACATAAGTCGATATTTTTAATTTTAATTAGTCTGGTCCTATCTTTTTTTCCACACCAAAAATAGAGTAGTATCGTTTAAAAATTTTTTGATAAAATTTTGTCAATAAAGTATACAGATATCTATACTTATTTTAAAGAGCATTAAAAGATCTACAATTTTTGAGTTGAAACTTTTTGCCTAGAAGTTAATCGAAAAGAGTTAATCGATAAAAACTAATTTAACAGTCTCTGGTCCTAGAAATTACGCGTTGAGTTGCTTCGGCTCTCGCTGCAAGTGCAATGAATTCGTCAAGTGACATAGCATTTCTTCGCGACAATTCGAGGTTGAGAGCTAATTCTGGACTATCAATGCTTCTTATTAGATGTTTAATAGAATATTCGTCATGCAGGTGTGCTGGAAGACCAGGATATGCCCGACGAACTAATCCAGAAATCTTTTCACCTAATTCATCAATAGTTTCATTTCGACCACGATGAACGCCTCTCATAAGTGTGTCAAAGGATTCCATTCCTTTTGAGTCTGTCTCTTCAAGTTGGTTAATAATAAAACGTCGAATCGAGTCATAACGATAGGGTTCTGAATTTACAGCAGCGTTAAAAGCTCGCTCTGCTCTACCACAAAGTTTAGACTCCAATAACGTAATACGTTTCTTTTCTGACCAACTTTCTGAAGCGACGTCAAACTTCTTAAAGAATTTCCTTATCCCATCACTTCCCTCATTTCCTTTCAAGTCAGGTATCTTATCTAATACGAGCGCCTGTGTTAAGCTTTCAAAAGCATTAATCTGCGGTGCCGGATTTGGTTGCATATTAGGTGGGTACTGATAAAAAGGCATATACATCATTGGCTGCTGTTGTGGATTAATCGGATATCCAGAAAAACAAGGTGGAAAACCAGCTTGAACTGGTGGAATCTGAGCAAATTGCGCGTATTGATTGTTTTCAATAGGCGTGCTTGCCATATTTGGTTGGAAACGGGCCTGAGTATTTTGTGCTTTCTTTTCATTCCCCATTTTATTGATTTTAGTTTTAGTTTGTTTTTTGCTACCTTTTCCATCTTCTTCCAAAAGTTGATCCACTGCTTGCTCATCCAAGCTAACCACATCATCTTCTTCACCATTACCACTTATTAGACTTTCTTCCAGGTTGTTTAACTGCTGAGACATGTCTAAAAGTGTGGTGGAAATTTTCTTTTTACTTTTAATCGATTTTTTTGGGAGGGCAAATTGATTGTTCCCCAAATTTTCTGTGTTCTCTTCACCCTCCTCTTCTAAATTTTGGTCTAAAATTTGTTTCCCATCTTTGTCAAGAACGATTCCCATTTCTTTGGTTTGTTGCCGGGTCATGTGAACTTTGGCCATTGGAAGAATCGATTCTACTCAAGTTTTCCTATCCCACCGAGAGATAACGAAAACCACGAAGACAACAAAAATTTTCCTAACCCACCGGGGGATAGCGAAAATGAAGTCGAAAACAAAAATTTTCCTATACCACAGAGGTATAGCGAAAAAAAATTGAAGAGTTTTTCCTATCCCACAGAGGAATAACGAAAAAAAAATTTTTGTTGAGTGAAGACCACAGAAAATTCTTCACAAAAAATTTTTACCCACCGGGGCGTAAAAATTTTAAATTTTACTTTGTCGTTGAAGTGACTCGGTTCAGTAGCGCCAAGTAATGCTGAAACTTTACACCAAATGTAGTCAATAAATTTAAATATATCAATAAGAATATTTATTTTCCACAAATTAAAATAAACAATTTTCTTCTTTTCAGAAAAAGACAAAAATTAAAGAAATTGAATGAATGACTGACAAAAATTAAAAGGGGAGAATAATATTTATAGGGAGAGGGAAAATGTCAAAACAGCAAAAAAATAAAAAAAGGCGGGGATTTAAATATTTGAAATTAGAGTCTTAATTAAATTTATATTTATAAAATATATCACAATTGGTTTTTAGTACTTATTTAAAGTGATTCTATTGTTCAGTGTTTGTCTCAATATTTGTCAACGTCAACCATCTATATGTACAGTACAAAAATTTGGCAGCATAAGAAATGAAGTTTTGTTGAACGGCAAGACGAGATTCTTCAAATTAGCTTTAAATCAATTGACTTTTACAAAAGAAATTTTTTAGAAAAAACTTTCTTGGAGCATTCAACAACGAGTTTTTTACTAAAAAGTTTATTAGAATTTAGGTACTTTAAAAAATTTTGTACTTTTACTAAAATTATTTTAAAAACTTTAAATTATTCAATTTAATCGTCAAATATTTTAATTGTACTTTTTTTAAAGTTAAACTTTGCAATATTTGATTAACTGTTTTTTCTTTTGTTTAAAGTACACTCAAATTTGTTTAAGTATAATTAAATTTCTTTGATATTTAATTTCATTTATAATATCAACTATATGAAACTAGAAATTGGATTGATCTGAAAAAAGTTATAGGTTTTTAATTTAATTTGAACTGTCCGTTTTAATGGATTTTTTTGTACTTAATTGTTGCTTTTAATTTTTTTGTACTTTTTCTATCAAGTCTAGACAAAAGTTGAAAGAAACAGGTGTTAAAATTACAAATTCAGGGCATTCTTAAATGATTATAAATACTCGAAGTAGAGTAGTTCGAAGTAAGATTTCATTTAATTTTATAAAAAATGCCCTCTAAACTCGAAAAAAATTTAAAAGGAATTATTTTATATTTATTAAAATTAACTTGTGGAATATCCCAAATTATTTTATTAATTTTTATTTTGTTAAATTTAACTGATTTAATTACTGCAAAAGGACAATCACCTCCTTTTGGACGTTTAAAAGTACAAAATGGAAGATTAATGAGTGAAAAAGGGAAAATGATTCAATTGAGGGGAATGTCTTTATTCCATAGCAATTTACAAGAAGGCACTATATTTTACAATGCGGAAACTGTTCGTGCATTAAAATGTAGTTGGAGAGCTAATATTGTGAGCTTTTGAGTTGATTGTTAAATATAAATAAATTATGGCAATAAATGCTTTCACAACCTCCAAAATTTGTTTAAATAGGAATTGAGTTAGAAGACTTGATCCAAATAGACTGATCCAAATAGAAACTTAGGCCTTCCCCCAAGACTTGATCCAAATATCAAGTCTATGAGCCCGAAGACTTGATCCAAATAGCCCGCGCATTAAAATGCGTGGACTTGATCCAAATAAGAATTGAGCCAAAAGACTTGATTCTAGAATGAAGGTTTTGGGTCAGTTTCTATATATGTATGTCCTGCAGCTAGGTAACTCCAACAATCATCGACGAGGGTTAAAATCTTACTCGTTATACATAAGCATAAGGGCTGGATCCGCGTTCCGCAAAATTCTGCCTTAGCCTTCCGCTTTCCGTCTTCCGTTTTTTAATTTTATTCCGAATTCTTCCGTTTCCGTCTTCCGCCTTTTAAAATTAAAAATTCTCTAGTCCTGATAAGCATTGCCAATTAAAATTCTTCGTATTTTATAAATTAAATAAAACTAAATTTAATTATTAGGTTCGTGCCGCTATGGGTGTCTATATGTTTAGTCCAGGGTACCTTGCAAACAAAAATAAAGAAAAAGCAAAAATAAAAGCTGTAGTGGATGCAGCAATTGCAAACGGGATGTATGTACTTGTTGATTGGCATTATACAAGCGATGAAATATTTGAAGAAGCGGCAAGACAATTTTTTAAAGAAATGTCAACAGAATATAGAGGGGTTCCGAATGTTCTTTATGAAATTTACAATGAACCGGTTAAAAATTCTTGGGATGTAGTCAAGAGATATCATGAAAAAATTATTCAGGCACGTTATTTAAAGAATAATAAAATATTTATTAAAAATGACAAAAATATTTTCGATTCTTTGACAAGGAGAGGAGAGAGACATTCATTCGTAATTTTCAATGTCCTATTGAAGATATGATTATAAATTAGGGTTCAACATTTACAGTTAGGTAGCTGTTTTCATGTGGACGGTGGTTTTTGCCACGAGGACGGGGACTGTGGCTCTGGGGGAGAGTCTCCTACCGTCTCCGGTGAACACCGTCCCCGGGGACGGTATTAAACCCTATTATAAATATTTGGTAAATTTACAAAGTTTTTCTATTCAAACACTAAAACACCATGTTGAGAATACTTATTTCATAAAAATCGACCCAAAAAAGGAAATGATTTAAAAGAAATAAATTCAAAAAATATTTTTATAAATTTAGGTAATTCGAGCAAATGACAAGGATGCTATAATTATTTGTGGCACTCCCTGGTACGATCAAAAAATTCTAGATGCGTATAGTAATCCAATTAAAAATTACAATAATATAATGTAAGATTTATAATTGTTTAATTAATTTAATTTAAAATAAAAGGTATACTCTCCATTTTTATGCAAGTGAAGGAGGGGCTGATCAGCTACGTAAAGTTGTGGAAATAGCACTAAAGAGAAAATTTCCGATTTTTGTTACTGAACATGGTTTAACTTTGGGAACGGGTGATGGCCCTATAAACGAAAAACAGACAAATCTTTGGTAAGTTTTTGGGGCAAACGTAAAGGGAAACAATTAAAATTAAAGGTGGAATTTACTTGACAAATATGGAATTTCTTACATTAACTGGTCTATATGTAATAAAAAAGAAAATAGCGCTGCTCTAAAGCCTGGATCTACACCGAAGGATGTTTGGAAAGATTCAGCTTTAACCAATTCTGGAAGAATTGTTAAAAGAATGTTAAGAAGTAAAAATCCAGTTCCAGCTGGATGTTAGTTTAAATATATGTGTACATAAATAGATTGTTATTGTTAAATTTTTTGTGATAAATTTAAGACAATAAAATAAGAGTTTAGCAAAAGTTTAGCCACCGGGCAGGTGTGTGTGTGCTTTTGTTTTGCTAGGCGCTTTCGCTCACCGCATACAGGAGCTCTATCATTAGCTACCGGGACATCGACTAATGTTTTCTCTTTTTCCTTCTAGCTAGTTTAACCCCCGCCTAAGCGTTTTAAATGCTGCTGGATGAATCATCCTTACAATAATCACATAACAAAACTGATAAAATATTTAGATAATAAATTAGTCCAGAATTGGAGAGGTAATGATCAGTTATTTAATGATAATTATTTATGTGTGATGATTAGATATCCCGTTCTAGATAGTTTGTAACTAAAAGTATGAATTCTATCAAACTAATAATTATTTTATTTAATGGCCATTCTCATTTTGAGGATATTTATTGCAAGTTGTTTTTCTCATTTTTTCAGTTGTATTTTTATTTTTCTTTTAACTGTTAAAATATTTTTAAATATATCCGTAGTAAATATTCACGTTGGGAAGAATGGTTTGATAAATATTTCAATTACTTTAAAAAAACTAAAGCTTATTAAAGCTACAGGATCGTCCCACGATCTGCTTTTGTTTTAAATATTCCCTAATCCAATAAAAAAATTTTTTTTAATTTCAACCAAAAATTATTTTAAAATCTAAAAAATACATACAAAAAAATATATTTAAAATTCTAACAAATATACTTTTTAAAAATAAATTTTTTAATAATCATCCCCAATAATTTCTATTTTATTTTTACCCAATAATGCTTCCGCTTCTTCTTTGTATTGTTCCTCCCTTTGTTTCCAAACTTCTGAAATTTTTTCTTTATCAAATCCAGCACTTGTCAATGCTCTAAGGGGGGCTGTATAACGAGGGAAGAGAACATGTGAAAAAATTCCAATAAAAAATCCTGTTGTTACACCAAATAGAAGACCGACAATTGAATAACCGGCTCCAATTGCAAAAATTTTCTTAAAAATATTTTTTTAATTATTTTAAAAGTATTCCGTTTATACTTTAGCAGGCAATTTAGTGGCGCCCTCGTAGGATAATAATTCTTTTGTTGCGAGAACAAAACCTCCAGTAGTGCCGAGGCTAAAAAATCATATAAATTTGAGTAAGCGTAAATAACTTGTAAAAATTCTGATTTTTTTAAATTTTAATTTAAGAATTTCTAACCACCTTACGATTATTTTACCGGTTTACAATGACCTTGTGGTTGCCTAACGATGGTTAGGTACCCATGGTCAGGTAACCATCGTTAGTAGATCGTGGGACCTAACCACCGTTAGGTAACAGACTCACTTATATATTTATTCTGAAATGTCTAAAGTATTTTAAAATTTGTATTTCTGTTTGTTTAAAAAAAATTTAAGTTTGAAATTCTGATATTCAAATTGTAATTCTGATTTAAACATTAAAAGAAAAAAACTTAACTAAGTTCCTTCCCAACAGCATCTCCTAATTTCATCTACCTTTCCTCTATTTCCAATAATAGAATTGCGTGTATGTAAACCTAATGAAGCTAGCAGGCCTAGAAATTAATTTTCAATATTAATATCTAATAAAATTTATATACCAGATGAAGATTTACTCGTTCCATCGTTCTCACCTTTGAAAATAATTTTTAAAATTTCCAAAACGACTTTTCTAACCTAAAGCTGCCAATAATTGTTCTTCTGTTTCAATCTTCATTTTAGAAATATTTTATTTTAGACTGAAAAAAGAAGTAATAATAAGATTTGTTTATATGGCAATCCCGGAGAATTGGGGTCCCTGCGAAAAAAATTCTACAAATAAGAACACAGATTTTTCTAGGCTGAGCTCAGATTCGTAATCAACATATTTATTACCCTAGAAACATCATTTCTTCTATTTTTAAACTTTTTTTCGCAGGGACCCTAATTCTCCGGGATTGCCGTTTATACAATATGTAAAATATAAATTCTGATAAAACATTTGAAAAACAACAAATAATTACTTGATATATTTTTAATTTTTAAATTTCCAAATAACAATATAAAACAAAAAAATTTTTAAATTCTAAATTACAGTCATTTGTAAAATTCGATGTAAAACAGCAGGGTTTAGACCGCTCTTTTTAAAACTTTTTGAATTTTTGTGGCCAAATTTGTAACTAATTGTAGGAGCATTATCCAAACGCTCAAAGGAATCATAAAGTAAATAGGGCCCCTCAAAATAGCAACAATTTGTACGGGGATTATTGAAACCTTAGAAAGAATTTTTAACTTTAAAAACTTCCAAAAAAACCCTCACCTTCAACATCAATATTAATTGCAATTGTGTTGAGTTGTCCAACTGCAAACCAAAAATATTTTCCATCGCTAAGTATAAGTTGAGAGGTAATTGGAGAAGTAATGTCCGTATATTGGGTATTACCTACAAAAATATTTTAAAATTTAATTTAAAAAAATTAATTCCAAACCAAGGCAATGTGCCTGGGCATTAAGCCAATTAAAAAGAGAAGAAATTGCTGTAGCTTTCACACAATCATTTAAAGTCTCATTCCATTCTGACCCTTGCTCGACCTTCCAATTAATTAAATTTTGGAAAATCGGAGAAATGTCTTTTATTGCGAGACGTCCAAAAGTATGTGTTTCTTCTGAAAAGAAAATAAATAAAGAAAAATATAAAAAGAAAATTTTAATTCTGATTTTTAATAAATTCTGAAAATTATTTTAAAATTGCTAGAAAGAATACTTAATTAATTTAAAATCAGAATTTACAAAAATTAAAAATCTGAATTAATAATTCTGAATTAAATTAAAAGTTCAGAAATAAGTCTGAAAATTCTGATTAGTTTTTTTTTGTTTCTGATTTTAAATTAATTATAACTCTTGGTAGCAATTTGTATATATTTTTAATTCTGATTTTAAATTATAAATTAAAGATTCTGATTTTTGATTATATAAAACAGAAATTTTAATGTAATTTTTAATTAAAAATTAAATTAAAAACCAACCAGAATCATATTCATACCCTGGACATTGCCAAAGAATATCCATTTCTGGATGTAAATTAAATACTCGAGGGTTAAAAATAACATCATTTTCCAAATTTAAATGTTCTCCTCCATTTTCTGTTGTTTCAGGGAATAATGGGGAATTTAATCGATCATCAGAAAAATCAAAAATCTAAAAAATAAATTTAACAAAAAAATTTAATTTTTAAAAATACATTTTTTAATGGAAATTTGCTTCTGACTTGGGCAGCAAAATTATCACGCATTGTGAAGCTTAATTCACCCAGACATCGTCTGAAAAGAGAAAAATTGGGTAAAAAAATATTTTTACTCGTCATCTCCAGTAAAACGTGGTCGAGGGTGAGGTTTAGCCTCTTCAATCCAAGCCTCTTTGTCAGTTTCCCAAACAGGTAATTGATCGTATAAATGAGTAAATCCAGAACGAACCCAAAAAGATTCACAACGAGGGTTATACGAGATCTACAAAAATTTTATTAAAATTAGGAAAGTGAAAAAATTTTTGAGAAATTTAAAAAATAATTTTTGAATTTTAATTTCAAAGTTTACTGAATTGTAATTAATTGTAAAATTTGTAATTTTGATTAATGAATTAAAAGCCTGATTTTTAATATATTAGGTTTGTAAAAAAGGTGGGTCGGAACGGTCAGAGGTGTCGGAAATCGGAAGAGCCGGAAAACGTAACTACATAGGTCAAAAGCCGGAACTCGGAAATCAAAATTTTTTTCGGAAATCGGAATTTCGACCCCCTGGTTTGTAACCTATTTTTTTAAATTTTAAAATAAAGATTCTTAAAAATTTAAAAACTTTTGATTTCTAATTTGTCAGAATTTCAAAAGGTTTGTAAACTTTATCAAATATTTCAAAAAAAATATACTCTATGATCCAACAATTTGCCTAAATTTCCTTTAGCCAAAACTAAATGGGCATCATCCACAAGTGAACGTAAAAATTTTGCACAATTATCAGCAATTTCTTCTTCAGAATGGCCTTCTTCTTTAGAAATATGATTGTTTTCAAGAAAATTTGACAACGATTCTGTTACTTTTTTCTAAAATTTTAACAAAAATAATTTGAGAAATAAGTATGGACATCAAAAAATTCATAATAGAAGGTAAAAACTTGAAAAAGGCCCAATAAAATTGGACCTTTTTAAAAAAATAAAATTGCCCCCCCCCCCAATAAATTCGCTTAATAATAAAGTTTAAAATAAAATTGAACAGTCAAAAAATAAATTTTTCCCCACTTCCATAAAAATATAAATTTATTAAAATTTTTTAAAAAACCTCAAATCCATTTGTAGGCAAAACTAAAGATTTATAATAATTATTTTCCAATTCATTTAAGGCTTCAGAGCCTTCAACTAAACGACATTTTGTAACATATTTGTAAAAATTGAGTGGGTCGAAATAATTAGGTATTGGAGGGAATGTCCAAGCTTTTCGAGGACGAGAAAGTGGGCGCATCCAGCGTCTATAAAATTTTAGATTTTAAAAAAAGTTTAAACAACAACTTTAAGAAAAATTTGGAGTGATTTTAAATTGAAAAATATTTTTAGAAAAAAATAGTGAGGCAAGGATGGAAAGGATTATACATAAAGACAAAGATGAAATGGGGGAAAATCGGAAAAAAATATTTTTAGGCTTCCGTTGCCAAAAAAATTTAAAAATTCTTTGGTCATTTTACGAAATTTAAAAATAAAATTTAATAAATATAAAAAAACCTGTGCCAAGTTTTCTCAAAAACACTCCATTCTCTCTCATAAGGATTTACAAAATCAATTTTCTCTTTAATTGTAGGTAACCAATTAACAATTTCTTGCATTTTATAATAATCCAGTAATCTTGTTTTTGGATCGTTTAATTTCTAAAAATAAAATTTTTTTAAAAAAATTCATATATTTATTGGTTTGTTAAAATTGAGTTTGAGGGAAAGGATTTTGGAAATGAACAGTAAATGTGAAATTAATAAGTAAATTTTGATTTCCGAATTTAGAAATATTTAAATTAACGAAAAAGTTGAATTTTTTATTTAACATTAGAAACTAAAAAATTTTTGCTTATTGTTAGCCCGCACAGAAAAGAAAAATGATTAAACTCCGAAAAAATCTTCAATAAAACTAAAATATTTTTGGAGTCGATTTCGTAAATTTTTTAAAAATATCCACAGAAAACCCCAAATTAACTTTTCCCAAAAAATTTTAATAAAAAAATAAACTACCAACCTTAACAATCCTTTCATTTAATTGTCCAGTGAAAGGTTTGAGAATGTTTTTGTTCACAATAGTAGACATTTCTATAAGTCTGGTAAAGAATTTAAAAAATTAAAATAAATACATAAAATAATTAAAATATTAAATAAATTTAATAAAACAAATTAACAAAATTTATTTAAAAAAATTTATTTATTTATATATTTGCAATATTTTATAATCTAATAAAATAAATTATAAAACAAAAATAGAGTTATTATTGGAGTTAGACAATTATAAACAATAGAAACGTGGGAGTTTTCTCTCTTGGACGTGCGAGCTTGGGTCAAGTTTTGGTCTCCAAGTCATTAAAGATTTTCAATCTCCCAAGTCTCTATGTATAACGAATAACATAAAAATAATTTTTATCTAGAGAAACAAAAAATTCAATTTAAATAAAAATAGAATCCAGAAGCCGACAAATTAATCCCTTTTAATCTCAAACAAAGTTAAGCCGAGAATATATATTTTTAAAAATGAAAGAGAATCGATTATGCGAATCAGATATTTTTATTTTCTGATTTTTTATAATAACCAATAAATTCTACGAAAAGGATTAAAATTTAAATTATTAGGCCCAAAATATAATATTGCTAAATTTATCTTGCTAATTAAAAAAGGCTTCTTAAAAGCTACAAAAAAATTAAATTTAAACAAAATAGCCCTACAAAAATTATGTAATTTAACCAAACTTGGTCTTTTAATAAAACTCTGGAAAGAATAACTTAAACTAACTTGAAATTTATTTATTGCTAATTTAAACTAAATTTAAATATTTTAATAAATTTTTGTCACTAATATGTAGTTAAGGTTCAGAAAAAAATCAAAAGAAAAAAAAACATAAATAAAAAAACAAAATTTAAACTTTTTCTCGCTAAGCAGACAACGCCGTGTCTCTAAATCCCTTTTCTAACTGCCGAGTTGCTGTATTTGTTGAACCTGTTGAGGTGTCCAAGTCCTTTTAAAAATTTTAAAATTAAAAAATTTTTTTTAAATAAACCTCAACCCTTCGTTGCTGAACAATTAAAACTAAAGGATTATCAAAATTATTTGCCGCGACACGAGCATTCTCCAAAGTTTGATCATTTTCTAATGCTTTATTATTCAAGTATAACAATTGGTCGTTGGGTGATTGTTTGGTTTTTTGCAAAAGTTGTAATTTCAAATCTGTAATTGTTTGTGTTGAACGCATCTAAAAATAAATTATTTTAGTAATTTTTGAATTAAATCAGAATTATTTTATAATTAACAAAATTACTTTCAGAAAATTTTTGAAGTAAAAATAATTCATTAACCAAATAATTAACTTTTTACCTTAAATTTGAACATATTTGTACGCATTGCCATACGACGAGTTGTATAAGAACTTGCACTTGTGCCTGGACCCGCAGCCTTTGCTTGAAGTTGTTCTTCACTTTCGTCATCCTTCTAAAATTAGAATAAAAAATTTAATGAAATTCTTAAAATAAATATACCATTTTAACCCAAATTTCCGCACCGTCTGGGTATATGTAGCGTTTTTGTTCTTCATTTAAAAAATATTCATAGTTACATTCATCACAAAATTCCATATATTGACCTTAAATAAAGATAGGGATTTTATTTTTTGACCAAAAATATGGTTAGATCTCTTTATAAGATAAATTCGAGGGCTGGAAGACTTAGAGAACATAAATAGAGGGTATCGCTTAAGCAGTTTTCCTAAACAGTGACCAACCAAAATACAACCCGAATCTTAAATTGAGGTGTATCCATTATAAGAAGGTCAAAATATACAAAAAAAAATTTTCTTTACCATCCTCTTGAAATAAAATAGGGTTGGGCTCATTCTGTTCAGGTACATGTTTATTGTAAGCAGCTACCAGTTGTTGCCATTCATCCTCCATCAAAGGTACCCCATTTGGCTGTTTTTTCGATTGTTTTTGTTGGTCTAAACCTGAATCCAAAATTTGATCAAATAAAGTATTTTCGTCTTGATTTTCTGATGGCATTAAAGGTAAATATGGACGTCCATGTTGACAGAGTATACAATCCTGACAAATTCGAGGGATTTCTACCACCTGTTTTTGTCTTTAAAAATTTTTTTTAAATTGTTTAAAAATAAAAAAATACTTTGAACGATTTGTAATATTTTTCATTTTGCTATGAAAATCAGAACAAAGCATAAATTTGTAAGTCAGTCCCAATTCCTCTTGTGTCCATTTTCGATTTAATATATTTTTAAGTAGAGGATTGATTTCGTTTAATAATTTTTGGAGTTGATCTAAATTGCTTTGTCGAACTTCAGAAAGTATCTAAAATTAATAGAATAATAAAAGAAAAACAGAGAAGTTGGCCTAGAAAATTTTAGGAAGCTTTATACCTTTCCCAGAAGAAAACCCTCGCCCAGACGTAAACCCCCTCAAAAATATGTTCAAAATTAAGGGTGAGAATTTATGAATTATTAAGAAATACTAAAACATTATTAAAATAGCAAATATTAAAAATTTAATTTACATTATACTCTTCAATACAATCTGGGCATTCCTGTGATGAGCAAAGAAATGGACTAGTAAACTCCATAAAATTAGATTTCAAAACTCCCCATTCATCTTTGGTCAACCAAGCACGCTTTGGCTTATATGATAAACGACCTTAATTTAAAAAATAACTATAAGGAATAGCAGTTATGTAATTAATTTACCATGTTTACATAAAAGATCTTCATTAAAGCGAATGGTAGTAGGTACATCATCGGGAATTTCAGTAACTGACAGACTATCAACACGTTCTAGAGGCTGAAAAGATTCATTTTTGTCATAAATTTTCGAAAAATTTGGTGGTTCATTTTCGTTATTATCCATTGAACTGGAAAGTCTACGCCTACGAACGGTGACATTATCACTCTAAAAATAAAAAGTTAATTAATATAAAAAATGTTTTTTAAACCAGAGGCGGAGTATTGATATGCTCTGCAACTATTTGAATTTCAGATGAAGATTGAAAATTATTTGAAGTCGATTGCCTGTGATGTTCTTCTAAAAATTCTCCATCATCGGCAATATCTTCATCAATATCAGAACCTGCTCTAAGCCTTTTTTCTGAAAAAAAGTAAAATTTTAATTGGCAAAACAAAATTCAGAATAGAAAAATAATTTTAACAAATCAATTAATAAAAAGATATTAAAACCTGCAGGTGGATCCTCATCCGCTTTTTTGCTCAAACGACCCGAACTTTCCATTTGTGTTAAGGCAATTTTCTTAAATTTTTTCAAGTGATCAACAGATACCCATACAGAATCTTCAGGAGGAGAAAGAACAGGAAAAGGACTTGCACGGCTTGGATCGTGAGTTCTGAAAGAGATTTTTTGGAAAAATTAAATTTATTTGAAAAAACCTTTTTGAAAGCGATTTAAATGCATCAGACAGCGTTTTCTCAGTAACAACGAGCGAACGTCGAAAATTTGCTTCCAATTTTAAATCCTTAACGCATTCAGAGCAAAGATCAGCACTAAAAGTTATGAAATTAAGAAAAAACCTTCAATCATTTTTTATATAAAAATCTAATTCTCACCCAGTCAACAGCTGGAAATCCCCTCCAATATCTGAATTTGCCGTTTGTTCGTCGTTTTCACTATCAGGCATTTGTACTTTCCACTGAACATTGGAATCCTTTATAAAAAGGGGAATTAATGGTATAATTTTAAAAAATAAAACTAAAAAATCAGAATAAAACCTACAGCAATTAATCGTTTCAACCCAGCAGTTTTCACAGCTTTCAATTCTCCTTTTTTAACAGCATCCAAAGGTACTTTTCCATGTTTACACAAAATAATTTTAACAGAATTTAAAGGTTCTGGTGTGTAAATATATTCATAATCAGCATAATCAAAACTGTTAATCTCTCCATCCTCCAAATTATTGTTTGGAATTAAAGTATTGTTGTTGTCCAATTCATTCAAATTATGCATTTCTTTGACTGCCTCGTATTCATTGGAAAACAAATTGGTTAATAATGAAGTTGGTAAAAATGAAATTTCTTCGGGTTGATCAGATAAGACATTGCCGTCTCTGACCTTTTAAAATTAGAAAATTTTTTGAAAAGGACGTTACAATCATTGTTGGATACATGTCTATTTATGGTACATTTTTAAAATTTGGCTAATGGGATCAGGGGAAGCTGTCTAAGCGAAAACGGATTCACTCGACAGTATTATTATGTAAACCTCAATGGGGTATCTATAAGACACTTCCACCAGAAATTCCAAAAATTTAAGGTCGCCCATTATAGGAAAAACAAATATTACAGAAAATAAATGTCGATTCTACCTCTAATTCACGAAATAGTTGATTTAAGTATGAATGTCGTGAATTAACACGCAATTCCCATAAATGCATTGAACGATTAGCCTCTTTACTTTCCCGAAGAAAATCACTTTCCAACTAAAATTTTTTTATTAAATTATTTATTCTCAAAAATTTTACCTTATTTTTAACTTCTTGAACAACTTCATCTGGAGGCATATTTAATTTTTTTGAAGAAGCCATTACTTCTGCTGCTGTATATGATGGTTTCCGTTGGTAAATTAAAGCATAACAACCCTTCTGGTCAGCTGTTGGGCGACCAAAATTTTCTTTTGGTTCGCGCTGCCCTTCATAACCTGGAGCGCGTTTTTCTAATTGGACATGCTAAAAAGGAAAGATTTAAAAGCAAAATTTTAACAAAAGTTTCAGAATTTTTCTAAAAATTTTTCAAATACGCCCCTCGCTTTACTCAAATAAAATATTAAATAATCAAATAAAAACAAACCTTATCATTATAGGTAAACCACTGCTTTGTGTAAGGATCCCGAATCAAATCATAATAATGTCCACAATGTGTATTATTCCCTTCGTGTATCATAACAGCGCAAAGCTCATATTCTTCATTATACAAAGCATCAGGTTTTAATTTGCTAGCTCTTAACAAACGTGGATATTGCATTACCGTTTTGAGTTTGTGATGACGCTCATTTGAACTACAAAAAAATTAAATTTAACAAAAAACTTTATTTAAAGACAACCTTTTAAA